TCCAGTGAGAATGGCCTTTATCAAAAGTCCCAGAACAACAGGTGCTGGTGTGGATGCGGAGAGACAGGAACACTCCTACACTGTAGGTGGGACTGCAAACTAGTACAGCCTCTATGGAAAGTAGTATGGAGATTTCTCAAAGAACTAAAAGTAGACCTACCATTTGAACCAGCAATCCCACTACTGGGTATTTATCCAAAGGAAAAAAAGTCATTTTATCAAAAGACACTTGGCATCCATATGTTTATTGCAGCACAATTCACAATCTCAAAGACGTGGAATCAACCCAAGTGCACATCAATACATGAGTGGATTAACAAAATGTGGTGTATGTATACCATGTAGTTCTACTCAGCCACAAAATAAATGAATTAATACCTTTTGTAACAATCCTGGTGGAACTGGAGACTGTTCTCCTAAGTAAAGTATCACAAGAATGGAAAAACAAACACCACATGTACTCACTATTAAATTGGATCTAATGATCAACACTCATGTAAAACTCAACAGAAATCAAACAGGTGGGAAGGGGGAGGGGGATGGGTAAGTTCACAACTAATAGGTACAGTGCAGACTATGTGCATGATGGATACACTTATAACTTTTGACTTAAATTGTACAAAAACAATTCATGTAACCAAAACATTTGGACTCCCATAATATCCTAAAATAAAAAATACATAAATAATCAATGGGACCTTAGGAGGAATGTGCAATACTCTTATCCCTTATTTTTAGTAAAATGTCTGTGTATAACTAATTGCCACTTGTTAGATATTGTCCAAACTCACTTTTGATCTTGAGTGTTTTTACCTTCACAGACTTCATAAAAATAAAAAGAGTATTTGCTTGTTCCTATTATATTGTAACCAGTAGAGCAAACAGACACCTTTTTTCCCACAAGTGACTGGGTCAAACTGAGGCTAACAGGAGGGTATAGAGTTTAAAGAAAAACAACTTAAAGTCGCCTGGCTAATGTCAACACCGACAGTAGAAACCAAGTCCCTTTACTCAGGATTAGTGGCCTCAAAATGTGCTTTCTCTGAAGCAGCACTTTACTAGGAAATATGAAAATCCACGGTGCGGCGCGCACCGGCTGCAGCCGCGAGGCCTCGCCACAGCCGCACTGGCAGTCCACGGCGCTCGGGCCGTGCGTTGACCACGGGCCCGTGTTGCTCTTGTGTGGTGAGGAAAGCTTGAGAGCACTGAAGCTTGTTTTACTCTACAGGCAGCTTTACTTGTAAGGTAAATCAGAACAGGTAACACATACATATATGTTTTCATTATTTTTAAATGTTCGCAATTTTATTTTGATAAATGAAAAATTAGAAAACTATCGCGGCTGCCGGCTACAGTCGCTGTGCGCGCCCATCTGTGGCTGTCGACTACAGTTGATGCTGGTGCCGAAGTGGTTAAAAAAAGAGACAGAAGGAAGAGGTGGCAGAGGCCCAAGGTGAGCAGTATGAGAGACTCAGACACAATGCGAGGGAGAAAGAAATAACGCCTGTAATATCGCTGAATGAACAGACACCGAGGGCACGTGAGAGGCCTGCTAAAGCTATGGAACTTCTGGAGCCAATTTGTGAGCCATACAATTCAGAGACGGTGACTTGCAATCCGATGTCTGACCTTTACTTCCTTTCCCGCCTCAAACTTGTTGAAATGTTTGACCAAATCTTCTATGAACATGAATCATTCCTACAATATTTAGTTGAACTGCACATATTTCTCGAAACAGTAATATAATGCTCTAGTATACTTTAAACATCGTGTAAGTACATGGTGTGCTTATTATATTCAGGTCATTTCTAAGACTGTTTTAGTGCCTATTGATGATGCATTTCCAAGGCTAAAAACAAAATGCTGTTAATGCATGTATAACCAGAGACACCATGCATTGTGTTTTTGCAGGGACTTCGTTTTAGAGATGATCGCTGCCTGGGGCCTCTGCCTTTATGAAGGAAAATTTGCAAATTTTAGCTAGCTCTGTGTTATAATGTTCATGTTTTATTAAAGAAAAACATGTTTCTGTACTAAAATAAAACCCTAATCCAACCTTTAAAAAATAAAAAAAAAATACAAATATACAGCTAAATAGTATTTTACTTTATGGACGTTTCATATTTTATGTAGCCTGTTGAGGATCCTCCTATTGATCAGTACTTAGGTTATTGGAAATTTGTGCCATTGGTAGCAATGACTTGTATAGACATCGTAATGCACATGTGCAAAAATATGAGTATGATAAACCCTAAAGGGCGAGTTGCTGAGTCCAATATAAATATTATTAATATTGATAAATATAGCAAAATTGCCTTCATAGAGGCTGATTTACAATCCCAGCAGCAAGATGTGAGTTTGTACATTTCACCATTTTTTACCAACACAGAGTGTTGTTAATTTTTTAGATTTTGCCAATCTTATGGGTGAAAGTGGCATCACATTATACTTGTCACTTGCTTTTTAAAATTATGACCTATGTAACAAAGATACTGCACCTAGGAGTAAAAATTGGGATGAAGAAGCAAGATGAGAAGAATAAACAAACATATACACATGTGCAGGCACACACAACAAATCTGTCAAAATATTGGAAAATCAGAATGAGGAATGAAATGTGACTATAACTATAAAAATCACCAAGAAAATGACAATTTAATTGAAACACAAGGCAGAACAATCACAAGTTACATGAGGCAGATAAAGTAAAAGCATTCTAAAGTGTTTCTTTATTGGAAGGAGGTTAGAGATACAGATTAACTTCAGATGTTGCCATGTTAGGCAGTCACATTAAAAATGTAGGACTAACTCTTAACTAATGTAATTAGAATTTAAAACTCCTAAACCAGTAGGGGGAAATTAAAGAATGCTTTAAAAATGTAATCAATTTAATATAAGCCATGAAAGGGGAAAAAAAGGAGCAATATCAAAACATAACAAATAGCACAATATATGATAATAGAAACAAATCCGGATAGCTTAGGAATCAAAATATGTAAATAGTTTAAATCTGGGAATTAAAAGAAAGAGGTTCTCAGATTGGATTGAATCTGGCTTAAAATATAACAAAATTAAAATATTACAAAATCCAGTTTTATGCTGTATGTGATTCACAAGAATCACAGAGAAAACCTAAAGACATGAAAGGTTAAAATTAAAAACCAGTATAAGATCATGAAACAAAGACTAACAGAAGACAGCTTGTGTAGTTACAGAAATGTTTAATTTAATTTAATTTTTCTTTTTGAGATGGAGTCTCACTCTGCCACCCCGGGTAGAGTGCAGTGGCATTATCGCAGCTGCTCACTGCAACCTCACACTCCTGGGCTCAAGCGATCCCCCTGCCTCGGCCTCCCGAGTAGCTGGCACTGCAGGTGTGCGCCACCATGCCCGGCTACTTTTCTATTTTTTGTAGAGGCAGGCTGCTGCTCTTGCTCTGGCTGGTCTGGAACTTCAGGCCTCAAGCAGCTTCCCACCTCAATCTCCGAAGTAGTGCTGGGAAGTAGTGCCGGCCTAATACTCTCCTTGGGATTTCATTCAGCATTTTGGAGAAAATGTCCCCTTTCTTCTCCTTTTTATCTTCAATTTCTCTTAGCTACAGATGCCTTCCACTTAATTCAGAAACTTGAGGTCTTTCCTATTTTAAAAGTATCTTCCCCTACCTAAATGAGTTCCCCTACACGGGAACTCATTCCTGTTATCTAACCCTAACTTTGTCACCATTACCAACCTCTCCCTATCCCCACCACCCTCTCCTCCCAACCTCGGGTAACCACTCTTTCATCCTACAAGATAAGCTCTTTTAGATTCCCATACAAGCGAGAGCATGTGGTATTTGTCTTTCTGTCCTTGGCTTATTTCACTTAACATAATGTCCTCCAGGTTCATCTGTGTTGTTGCAAATGACAGGATTTCATTCTGTTTTATGGTTGGATCATATTCTACTGGGTATATGCACCACGTTTTCGTTAGTAATATTGTATATTTCCAATAGCTAAAAGAGAGGATTTTGAATGTTCTTATCACAAAGAAATGACCAGTGTTTGAGGTGATGGGCATACTAATTATCTTGATCTGATTGCTACACAATACATACCCGTACATCACACTGTGTCCTATAAATATGTACAATTATTATGTTAGTTAAAAACAAAATAAAACAAAAAAATATTAGTTTTGCTTTTCTCCCAAATGGGAGACCCATTTTTTCCTTATTTTCACGTTCAAAGTTCCTGTAAGACTGTTTATATCTGTTGTCTTCATTTTCTCATTTCCAATTCACTCCTTACTCTTTTGAAACAGGGCTTTTACCTCAACTCTCTGCTGCCCTGTTGAAGGATGTCCATGCCCCACTAATGATAAAACACAGAGCTGTCTTATATTGTATCCTGGTGAACATTTTTTGCAACATTTTATTCCTTTGAGAATCCTATCTCCATGTTTCTTTTCTTTTCTTTTCCTTTTTGTGGTCCTCTGGGCTTATAGAACATTGTGCCGTCCAAGTATTCTCTCTTTCTTCTGTTTCTTCTCTGACAAAAAAATCGCCCACTCACTGCTCTTGAGGCAGATGCTTGAGACTGCGGCCCACTCTTCTCAAGCCACACACTCTCCGCTGGCAAAGTCAGCACCCCGCAGGAAGGGGACCCGTGGGTCAGAATAGGCCAGGGTCAGGGCTAAACGAGGGTAGCTGGATACAGAATACACAATCCGCCTAGTTCTTCTAGGGCCCTATGCTATGCAGATTATTATTTCTCTTCTTTCCCCAGCCCATTTTTATATACCTAATTACTGTCAGTGATTCTGCAGTTAAACAATTCTTGAGTGGCATAACTCAACTGTATGAAAGTATTCTACCTAGTATCTCATGATGAAAACTCTTCTACCTTGATTGGTTATCAGTCGAAGGAGTTTCCAATCCTGGGGATGCTAGAAAACATACCTACGTATACCCTGAGTGAATATTTTTTGGCTGTGTTGTGTGAGGGCAAGGCCTAGTCTGAAGAGGCTGATGATTTTATCATCTGATTTTTTCCTCTCTCCAGAATGGGTTCTGGGTGGGTCCCCTGGGCGGCGGCTCTGCTAGTGAATCCGAGAAGGCCGGATTCCTCCCTGAGACAAGGTACAGACGCTCCAGGTAAGAACAGAGCAATTTTTTGGGGGTGGTGGTGGTGGTGTATGCAAGAGTTGGCATGGGGAAGGGATGCCTTTCCCAGGAGGTCTAGGCCACAGACCAGACTGGAAGTGGCTTCTGACTTCAAAGAGTGGTGCAGGAAAGTACTTGGGCCAAAAAGTCCCCCTTCCTGGGAGCAGGGACTTCCTGTAACAGCGCCAGGGATGCAGGAAGAAGGGAAACATTTTGTTTGTTCAGGGTCCGTATCCTTGCCGTGTCAGTGGAGGACTGGAGGCGGTCTGGGAATAGCTACCATTCTTCAGCTAGGACTCGCTCTGATGGCTGTGGCTGCTTCTGTACTTGTCCAAGCGGGGCATATGTGAACAAATGAAATTGGAAACAAAGGTTGCTACTTCTGCTGTTTATTAGGCCCCTGTTGTATGGTCAGAATTGTACTAAACAGTTTTGGGAAGTAAGAGAAGTTGATTACATTATCCTTGTCCTCAGGATACAAATTATTTGTCACTATTATTTTTCTAGCTGAGGAGATAGGCTATGCACACATGAAGCAAAGTCATGCCATAAAAGCACATATTTGTGAGCAGAAAACAGGATGTGGTATGTCAAAAACAGAACCCTCTTTGCATGTCTAAATTTCGTTAAATATAAGAGAGGAACAAACCTGGGGAGGATCCTTGTTTTCTAGAGAATAGAAACCACTCTGAATTTTTGGTGCCTGTTAAACAACACAATTGAAAAAAACCAGCACAGAATTTTTGGGACCTAATGAAATTAAAAAGCTTCTGCACAGCCAAAGAAACTGTCAAGAGAACAAACAGACAACCCACAGAATGGGAGAAAATGTTTTACACATCTGATAAAGGGCTAATAACTAGAATCTATTTAGAACTCAGGAAAATCAGCAAGAAAAAATCAAACAACCCTATCAAAAAATGGGCAAAAGACAAGAACAGAAACTTCTCAAAAGAAGACAGAATAATGGCCAACAAACATATGAAAAAATGTTCAACATCTCTAATCATCAGGGAAATGCAAATCAAAACCACAATGAGATATCACTTAACTCCAGTGAGAATGGTCTTTATCAAAAAATCCCCAAACAACAAATGCTGGCGTGGATGCAGAGAGAGAGGAACACTCCTACACTGCTGGTGGGACTGCAAACTAGTTCAACCTCTGTGGAAAGCAATATGGAGATACCTCAAATCGATACAAGTAGATCTACTATTTGATCCAGCAATTCCACTACTGGGCATCTACCCAAAGGATCAAAAGTCACTTTATGAAAAAGACACCTGCACTTAAATGTTTATAGCAGCACCATTCATAATTGCAAGGCTGTGGAAACAACCCAAGTGCCCATCAATTCATGAGTGGATTAATAAAATGTAGTATATGAATACCATGGAATACTACTCAGCTTTAAGAAGCAATGGTGATATAGCACCTCTTGTATATTCCTGGATAGAGCTGGAACCCATTCTACTAAGTGAAGTATCTCAAGAATGGGAAAACAAGCACCACAAGTACTCACCAGCAAATTGGTATTAACGGATCAACACCTAAGTGAACATATAGGAGTAACTTTTATTGGGTGTCGGGAGGGTGGGAGGGTGGAGGAAGGGATGGGTGTATACAACCACAATGAGTAAGATGTGCAATGTTTGGGTGATGGACACGCTTGAAGCTCTTACTCGAGGGGCGAGGGGGGCATGGGCAATATATGTAACCTTAACACTTGTACCCCCATAATATGCTAAAATAAAAAAAAAGAAAAGAAAAATATCAGCACAGATTTTAAATGATGATGAAAAATTTGGGCTGTAAGAGGACGGAGAAGAATATAAATGCTGAGGAAAAGGAGGTGGAACCTCACCTGAACGTAGCTCCTGAGTGAGAGATGGGCACGCTGGCCCAGGAAGATCATCCGTGCAGCTCAGCCTGGCAGTGCCTGGAGGGGCCTCTCAACTTAGAAATGAAAGTAAATTTACAATTTACAAAGATCGATGGCAATTACCCTTCAAGTCTCAACTGAAATGCCATTTCTTCAGGTCTTTCCTAACCTACCTACATTATTAACCCCATTTGACTTTCCCTTTGTCACGGTGGTGGTTCTCAAGTGCGTAGATCTGGGATAACCAACCCAACAGGTTTGCAGCAGGTTGTAATCATTGGCCAGTTTGAGGACTCTTTCCTCTTCCCTTGTATCAGTTCCTACTCTTTCCTCTCCTTAGAGAATCCATTCTGAACTTGTCTCGTATGTCTTTACGTATGAGGGCAGCCTTTAAAAATATGTAGCATTGTTATTCTGCATGCATTAAAATTTGTTTTTTGTATTTTAAAAATTTAGCAAATGTCATTGTGCATGGAATTGCATTCTGTTTCTTTTCTCACCTAACACTATGCTTCTGAGCATACAGAGGTCAAAGGCCTCCTCTCTGCATGGAGTAGTTGAGGCAAGCCGATGAGGAGATTAGCTACCTCTCCCCACAAAGCCAAGTCCCTTAGATAGGGGTCACCACAGAGGATAAGAAAACCGATAGGATATAGAGAGAATAAAAGAATACACGCAGACTAAGTTACAGTTTTAATAAAAAGATCAGAATACTCACAGCAGGGCACTTAGGAGACTGGACGTGAACGTCCAGCAATATGGTTAGATTCACACAGGTTTTTATAATCACAGGCATCAATTACCAGTTGTCAGGGTAACACATTTACATATCAAGGAATGCAGTTGCTAGGGGAGACAGGGAGTAAGTTGGGGTCAAAAGTCCTCTCAAAAGGCTTCTAATCTATCTAGGTGAACAAACAGGTACAAAGTCTTTCAGGGGCTAACTTCTTAGTTCTAAGAGGTAGTTATCAGTTAACAGGTATAACAAAAGTGGTATAGTGACTCTATATTTCTTTGATTTAGTTATTGTGGACTTAAAGGCAGACAGGAGAGAGCAGGAAACCCATCTATATAAAACAGGTGGTTTATAACCACTGGGGCACATCTCCGGGCAAAGTGCACTCACTGTCTCTGGCTCCCATCCCGCGGGCCGTATTTGCCCTGCCTTGTCTTTCAAGACACAGGGAAGCTCACAGATTCTGAGATACTGGGAAGCCTTCCTGGAAAACATCCCCACTGGAGATTGGAGAGTCCTCCCTTGATAGCAGCCTCTAATGAGTGAGCCATTGAGTTCACACATTCCTTCAGGGCAAACCCCTGCAAACTCCTGTTTCTGTCTTTAATATAGTAATATAGAGTTATACAATAAAATAATGGCCTTAGGAGCCACATGTCATTGATTCCTCAGTCATATTTTCCTGACACCTCTCAAATCCACGTGTTCTGCCATCATTTACCAGGTGTGGGTTTTCCCAGAGGTGGGGGCTGGTTCACGGTCTTTCTTTTGGTTTTCCAGAAGATTTTGTGGTTCAGGCAAAGGCTGACTGTTACTTCACCAATGGAACAGAAAAGGTGCAGTCTGTGGTCAGATTCATCTATAACTTGGAGGAGTGCGCACGCTCCGACAGTGACGTGGGGATGGCCGTGGCCCCGAGGCGCTGGGGCAGCCTGACGCCGAGCGTGGGCCGCGGACGTGCTGAGAGGAGCAGGGCGGCGTTGGGCGCGCTCTGCAGGCCCTACTACAAGCAGGCGCCCTCACTGTGGGGAGACAGGGTGAGTTGGACGGTGGGCCCTGGCCGGGTTCCGGAACGTCTTCCAGGTGAACCTGGCCATGGCCCTCTTC